TGAAAGGTTAACTAAATAACACTTGCAAGTTTTATACAAGCTGACATCAACAATTGTATTTCCAAATACTTATAAGAACATTTATATATTAAATATTATAATGTATCGCAATAATCACACATCGAATTGATGTAATTATAAAACGGATCTAAGAGCGCTCATTAAATACAGGAGAAACATTAATTTATGAAAATTATTTGTTGTTCCTTAGTAATATCGAGTTATCTACGATATTACTAGAAAATGGAAAATTCAGCATTCGTTAATAAATCATTGTATATTTTCATCACGATATTATGATAAATGGTTATTTAATGTTTAAAAGCATTCATGATATTTATTTTAGATCCATTTTACATGACAAATTGTTAACTTAAATATTGTATATATTCAGTATTGCATAGTAAATCGAATCAACATTATGTATATATACGTGTATATATATATATATATATATATATATATATATATATATATATATACGTATGTATGCGAAAAATATTAAAGAATACCGAATACAATACTATTATTTACAATGATCTAATGAAATATGTAGACAAATAATTATAATTATAAAATTATTTATGATACCAACGATATAATAATTGAAGTATTTAATACTTTTGTCTACGATTTATTCCACATTAGGTAAACTGATTATTATATAAAACGTTGCTCAAGGAAAACGCACAATCACAAGGAAACAATAAGGAAAATGAAAACTCACAAACAATGTTGGGACTGAAATCGTTTAATAATGAAGTCTTTGTACAGAAAACAATAGAATCGAACATAAATCATTGCAAATCACCATCATATATTAGCTTTTGATGCGTAGTGCTAGTGCTACTATTATACGCTCGATAGTTGCTAGATTTACTTTTTTTAGCGTGTCTGTGTGTCTGTACGTGTATATCCTTCAAGAATGCACGGATCTTTTATTATTATTTTCCGCCTTTCTATGCGCAATTTTCAATCAAAATTCGGTACACGCGCGCGTACATCAGAAACATAAAACAGAACAATATTTTTCTACATAAGGTATACAGAGCCTCGCACGGTCATGAAGAACAATTTTTTTCCTTCTTTTATTTTCTCGTAAAACTTTGCTCGCCTATTGGCGAAAAAACAACGTCCGTCACAAACGCCATTTTTTTTTTTTTAATTTTTTGTATCATCTTTTATCATCATCAAATCATGTGATTCGCTCGAGATTTTTATCCGCGTGAATTACATACGCGTCTGCGCCTCTTATGGAGGTCAATTTACCCAACGCTTTCTCTTAATCTTTATTCAATAATCAATAATCAATAATAACTATGCTCGCCAGTCGCAATTATCGCTTTGAGGCTTCGTGAAACTCGGCGAAATTCGTTCGGTGGAATGCATTTTTTTTCTCTTCTTTTCCTTATCGTATTTATTTATTTAGTTTTTTTTTTTTTTTTATCTTTTCAATAATACGATCTATTTATTTAACAGAAAATAAGTTTTTGAAACGCAAATGCTACTCTCACAGTAGCGCATTATTTATTGCAATAGTTGTTCAATAAGCCCCAAATATAAAAAAGAAAGAAAGAAAAAATAAAAAAAAAAAAATAAAAGAAAAAAGTGAGAAAAGAAAAAAGGAAATCGAAGCATTAATTTTCACTTAATTATAATAATTATCTTGATTTTTTGCGTTTTGCATATAAAATTTAAAAAAAAAAAAAAAAAAAAAAACCAGAAAAGCAATGATAGAAGGCACTCGAGCGAATTTGCCATGTTTCACGGGCGGATATAGAATATATTTATATTTTTTTCATATAATAATAATAATATTTATATGTCGTGCTTTTTCTTAATATACCACAAATCATCATCGGTATATAATACAGTATCGACTATAATTTGTTTGCCTTATGTCTTAATCTAGATATCTATCAAATATTTCATTTTATATGTACAATCAGAATATGAAAAAAGGGGGTGGGGAGGGGCGGGTGTAGTAGTAAGTCTATGTAGAAGTTTTTTTTTCTTTTTAAAATTAAAAAATAAAGAAAAAGAAAGAGAAGAAACGCACGAGAGAATGGGAGCAGAACCGTGTACGCGCGAATATTATAGCGATGTATTTTGAAAAAATGTTTTACACTTGCGTTAGTCTCTACATGTGCCATCAATGCAAAAAGGAAAATAAATGCACTTTTCGCTCAGGAAGCCGCGCGTACGTACATTCATCCGTGCACCGTTTCGCTCCTCTTTTAATGTAATAACAAAAAAGTACAATAAACTAGTAAGCATACAAAAATGCGCCGATAACATTTTTGTAAAATCCTTTTTAGAGCTTGAAATCGACCTGTTCATTAACAGACGAAAGCATAATCAATACGTCATACTTAAAAACGATAATAATAAATTGAATTTGAAGAATGAGGATAGCGAGAAATTTTGCTCAAATGCCAGTGAGCTTATCTTTAGTAGAAGTATTTGCTTCTATTTACACTTTATTTTAAATAATTTCAGCTGTTACCATTAATTACTTCATGATGCTTATAGATGGTATTATATATATATATATATATATATATATATATTTTTTTTTTCATTTTTTTTTTTTCATTTAATTGAAATAAACACCTCATTTAACTAAATATTTATTTGGCTTGTTCAATAAATTTGAACTTAATATTATGAAAAGATGATATACAATCACTTTCGTACTTAAATGCATGACAAAAGTTTATTAAACACTTCAACTCTCTATTCGATTCTTACAATATTCGTTATAAGCATATATAAAGAACCATGTCTATGTATTAGAAAAGTGATTGAAAGTGTAAACATCTTCGGAATTGGAAAACACAGAAATTTTATTAGATAATTAACTGCGTATTCGGAATTCATTTCCAACTTCTTATAAAGTTAAATATTTTGATGCCATAGAAATACCGGCTGCGACTGCTCAACAACTATCATGAGAAAATAAATGAGGAAATATAAACATCGTCAACGGGAATAAAAGTGAAATCATTGGCACTCAGGAACTGGCAACAAAATAATCAGGTCGATCGATAATATTAAAATAAAAGTAAAAATCAAAGAATAATAATAATAATAATAATAATAATAATAATAATAATAATAATAAAAACAAAATAAAAATATAAGGAGTCGTTCAATCGGCACGTCGACACATACGTAATAAATCATCGCATGCGCACTGATCGCAGAAACGCACGATATCATAATACCCTTATTATTATACAAAAATAATCACTTTCCGAAAGAGAGAGATAGTGATGACCAACAACACAATCTTACAAATAAAACATGGGCAGATAAGGGTGGGAATACGAAGAAGAAAGAGGTATATGGAGGATAAGTGCAACATTAAGATGGGATTTTTTTTTGGGCCCCGCTGCAATTGCTTGAAATATTGGTTATTTTACACGGCGACCCTCTTTTTCTCCTTTACACGCGCTAACACGCGCGCACGCACGCACGCACGCACGCACGCATACACACACACACACACACACACACAAAAGTATATGTATGTATGTCAGCTCCCAATCTATGCCACCTTTGGGGTGGTGAGAGCAATGAGGAACATATTTAATCGATCAGCCCCATAATTTGATCATCATAATCATTTTCATGTAATTATTAGAAATCTCTCTATTCCTTCCTCGCTCTTGTACTCTCTCTCTCTCTCTCTCTCTCTCTCTCGCGCGCGCACGCACGCACGTTCTCTTACTCTTTCTCGCTCTCTGTAGTAAATATCTCAGTGCAGTGAAAAAAATGTATTTATTCCAATATTTCTAAGCATATATTTATTTGATTTGTCTTTGCAAAAACAGCAATGATATTAAATTTGAAACTATCGAGATTGAAAAAACTTGGAATACTTCGAACAACGATTTCAAATGCAATCATCACCGATCGACAAGTACTTTTAATTACTTTGCTTACATTTTTCGATTTTCACTAGTAAAGCAAAGTATGAATATTGGTCCTACAAAACTATAATACTAGAAACATTAGTATTAATAATTTTGAAAATAACAACAATCAAATAAATATTAAGTTTAAACGTATTTTTACGAGTATTGGAATAAATGTTCTTTAGCATTAATTACATTTTTTTTGCAATGTATGCATAAACAGTATAATTCATGTTATCGCACTACATACAACTGACCGATTGTTCAATATACCGTACGATCATCGATCGATACTCTCTCTCTCTCTCTCTCTCTCTCTCTCTCTCTCTATGTCTAGAGAATACATTATTATTTTATTTTATTTTTTAGTTTTATCCTCTCGTTCCTAACTACTCGCCGATAAAGAGCGCGCGATAAAAACAATATCGCTAGGTACTCTCGTCAATTTTCCACCTGCCTATCTATCACTTTCAAAAAGTTACAAAGGGTTATGCATGCATACTCGCGTGTGTCTGCTTCGTTTTGTATTTACATGCGATTTATTCCTTATATTTTAACGCCTCGCTCACTTATGCTTTTCGTGCTTTTAGTTGTCATTTATTTTTTTTTGTCGATCCAAAAACAACTTCTTTCAATTTTACTATATCCGACATTATATACTTTTTGCCGCCTTGTATTTTCAAGCCCCATGAAAGAAATGTCGTCCCTCCGGGCCCCCCCAAAAAAAGATTAAAAAAAAAAAAAAAAAAAAAAAAAAAAAAAAAAAAATATATATATATATATATATTAACGAGAAATTACATTATTGGCTAATGTTAATGCATTCGCAACTCTCTATCTCTCTCTCCCTCTCATCTTCTTTCTTTCTTTCTTTCTTTCTTTCTTTCTGTCCTTCTTACTTTTTGTTTTCGTTATTCCCCCTTTTATTCTCTTCTCATTCTCTGTCGCGTCCCTATGTCATCGATTAATTTTTCGTGACTACTTGCTTTTAAAGATAATCTCTAACTTTCTCTCTCTCTCTCCCTCTCTCTCCCTCTCTCTCTCTCTCTCTCTCTCTCTCTCTATATATATATATCTTACTCTTCGCACCTAACCAGAGGAGAAGATAAGAAAAGAAGGCAACGGCTGCGTCTTGCTCGTACGATTCGATTCAGTCCAGGGCACGAGTTTTGATTGCGTTCCCATAAAATCCAGCTTCTCCGTTTCTCCTCTTCCTCTATGTACATACCAGATAAGACTTATTTTGTTATCTCAGTCGACGACGGACCTTTTCCGATTCGTCGAAAGTCCAATGCGTTTGGGTTGGTTTAATATTTCTTTTCTTGCTGTGTATCTTATGTCTTGTCCCGTTGTCACTATCGTTCTTACTTGACTGTCGAGAAGTTCTGCTGTGGATTCTGATTTGTCGGCACCCAATTGTGGAAAACGTCCCTGTAATCCAAAACTCTATATTAGACATGACCGACTGACTTGTCGCCATTAATTAACGAAGCAATTGAATTTCCCACGTCGTTAGTCAATCGCCCCGTTCATCATCGCCGACCGTCCCACAGGCAAAGGGATTTTCGACGGATTATTCCCGTGCAATGACGCTTAACATCCCTCTCGGCTGATAATAGCCCTGACGATGATTTAAACACCACGATCCGTGCACATTTTAGATTTAGATGGTACATCTGACAATTACGACTCCACTTCTCTACTTATCATAATTCATGCATCCTAACAGTTGAGTTTGAAATGTACGCGTTTACGATGCGCGATAAGACGGATATAAATATGTATATGTTCGCAAGCTAAAGGCGCAAACTACTATCGACTGGATAAAAAAAAAAAAAAAAAAAAAAAAAAAAAAAAAAAACAAAAAAAAAAAAAAAAAAAAAAAAAAAAAAAAAAAAAAAAAAAAAAAAAAAAAAAAAAGAATGATACGATGAGCGTGAAATAAGAAAAAGTCCTCGTACACGTTTTGTCGACCTACGTACTCCGACCAATGCTCGTATTGCGCTTAAATTGCGGGCCTTGAATTGCGTACCTGCAGTGACTGACGACGCACTCGTTGCTGCAGTACTCGTCCTCCCACTCGGTATTGGAGATGGCAGGATTCGGGCAACCATGGCGAATGCAGGCGTTGGTCGGCTGCTGCTGTTGCTGGGCCATTGATGCGGCTGCTGCCTGGGAGCTGTTGACCGGTGGCGGACTCGAGAGCGAGTCACTACCTCGGGGTGGGCTCATGTGCAGGATCTGCTGCTGCTGTACCTGGACCTGCTGCTGCGGTACCTGAACGGCAATAGGAGACCAGTGCTGTTACGACGTTGTCGTGCTGTCGGTCTAATCCGAGTGCGGGAAGATATTCCCGCAGGGTGGGAGAGGGATGGCGGGGGACACCGAGGAGGAGGAGGAGGAGGAGGAACATGTGGATGTCCTTCGTTAGCGGTCGAGCTTGCTTTATTTGCACGTTCGTTAGTGGTATTATTATCGGATGAGTAAGGACATTATTGGCCGCCGAAGGCCGCGATGAATTTATTGGGAAGGTCTCGACCACATCGACGCGCAACGAAATGCATCTTATTTTTCCTTAAATTGTCGGCTGACTTTGATAAGGGCGCTCGATTGCACATCGAGGATTTTGAAATTAGATGGAAGAAAGCTCGTCAAATTTACTCGATGCTTTCAAGCGATTTTCAAGCGATTTGATAAATTGCCGTTTCGACGACAAAGCGGAAATTAAAGCGGACACGGTTAGAAAAAGATTTGCGTGTTAATCGATATGAAAATCGATGCGAAAACAAAGATGAAGAACATGCAAGGCCGAGCGAGCCAATTCGAAATTGATAAGCAAGCAGAAAGCAGATTCATTATTAAATGTCATTTCATAAAATATTAAGTATAATCGGCCGTGACTGTGATGAATCCGGTGCGAGTACCGAAACGTTGTATTAAATGTGTAATTGGAATGTATTATTTAAATACGCACACGAGCATAGCGAGAAAGCACTTAGTCTCCGGCGTCTTTTCATCGCCGCGCTCTCGCAATACGATTAAAGTGAAACAAATTGATTTGGAAACTAAATATTAGCGCTGAAATACAGTATCAAAAAACATAAAAACAAAAAAAAAAAACAAAAAAAAAACAAAAACAAAAACAAAACAAAAACAAAAAAAAATGGAAAAGCTGTACTTGCAATGCTTTATCTCCATCGCGTAGGAAAAAAGAAAGCGCGAAGTACGATTGAGAATGAGAGTGTGTGAGAGACCAAGTGAAAAGGGGTGGTAGTAGGAAGGAGGGAGGGAGAGAGGGGTAGAATAGAGGGAATTAAATGAATAGGAAGAGGATTGTCGAGCGAAGATCGAATACATAATACAAAAGACCAGGGTATGTAACATCTCGAGCTCGGTAATTTGATCCAATCTTCCCGTTAATTTGCAGAATAGTCGTTTATGCTCGTCCTTCCAGTTCTCTTACATCTGTCTGCCTGTCTCTGTCTGTCTCTGTCTGTCTCTGTCTCTGTCTCTGTCTCTCTCTCTCTCTCTCTCTCTCTCTCTCTCTCCTTCTCTTTCACACACACACACACACACGCGCGCGCGCGCGCGCGCGCGGTCTTTGTCTCCTCATTCTATCCTCTGGTCTATCCTCATTTTCCCCTTCACTTTATTCTCCGTTGTATCATGTTCGTAAGTTTTCAAGAATCCGATGGGAAAGAGCATTTTGCAAAATTGCAGCAATACGTTCTCCCACGCCTTTTTCCTTCAAACTCAATGCTAATTCCTCAAATAGTATATTATAAATGAATACATGATGGGTTGCTCAATTTTTTATTAAAAATTTGAAGAGATATCTGTAATTAGGGATAGAAGATGTTTTGCTCGTATCTACAACAATGACTCCATCATTATCGGGACCCAATGGTAACAAGGAGAACAACACACGCGTTCATCCGTATGAATTAACATGAACAATGGCGAAAGCAATCGTAAATAGCGCCTCGGAAATGTAAAGGGCAAATTTGAAAGAATTATACATTTAATTAATCACTTTCTCAATTCCTTATTTAACCTCTTCCAACATTTGAATTTGTGAGCATTTTCACGTTGAACTTTTGGAATAAGTTTAAATTTTTGAATATGTCAAAGAAGTGTCTTTGGTGTAGGTACGTAAGTCGGCGTACGTAGGTACGGTGTGATAAAGGCTAAGGTCGCACACAACGAGTTGTCCCATCGTGCGCAAGAAAGCATAGACACACTGCCGTGGAGTGCGCCGGGCGGCGAGTAGAGGGGTGATGGTGATGGGAATGGGGATGATCGGTCGAGTACGATGGTGGGGTGATGGGGCGATGGGGCGATGGGGCCATGGGGCGATGGGGCGATGGAGCGATAGTGGGGGGGGGGGGGGGGGGGGGGGGGGGGGGGGGGAGGAGGGAGGTTCACTGACCTGCTGCATGTACTGTTGCTGCGAGACTTGCTGCTGCATGTGTTGCTGCGTCATGTGAGGAGGCGGTGCCATTGGGTTGCCCATTAGACTCTGAAAATTCATAATACTTGGCTTTAATATTTTCTCTCTCCCGTTTTACTTTCGGTATTTAGGATTTTTCCTTTCAGCCCCTCTCTCAATTCTTTATTAATATCTGCGATCGCATTAGTCGCGCGAGTTATCTTTATAACTGTAATTTATTGCACGGGAAAACTATTGGAGTGTCACGGAAGATTTATAAATACTTGAAAATGTGAATAAGGACGAACGGGTGCCTGGTTTGTTTATATTTGCATTGGAAAGTGAATATCTTGTACGAGAGACTCGCAATTTTATGAATTGCGCGAGCGACATGCGAGGGAAGGTTTGTTCGTGATGCGCTTCAAGTTTTATAACTCATCTGAATACTTTCGATTTACCGAGTGGTCCGAAATATGTAGATTTCGATTTTCATATTTAAAATAATGGTAATTTCCATAATACAAAGTTTTCAAAGTTTAGATCCTGAAGTTTGTACACTATATTATAATGCACCAAGAGTGGATGATGGAGAGAAGGAAGAGGAGGAGGAGGAGGAGGAGGAGGGATGAGGGTGGTCGGAGTGTATATTTGCATGTAACAAAATCCTATCTTATATTATGAGAATCTTAAACAAAAAGCGAATCAATTTATAGGTTGATCGTTTTAAAATTTTGTTTACAAAAGTCTTTTTAAATGTATCGGGTCAATATCAAACTCCCGACATAAAAAACATTATATGTAAGAGGATTTTCGTTGTAAGTGAAGCGTCTTAGAAACTTCCCGCAAAAGATTATGTCAACATAATATTGTGCACTTTCACAATAAATTTATTTCTTATATTAATTTTAAAAATAAATATTGACATGAATACCACATGCTTTCAAAAACTAATGCCCAACTATCTTGCCGCGGTAAAATTATTGAAATGCGAGATAGTCAATAATTATTTGAATATTAATAGAGCGCTACTATCGCTTTTGTTTTGCTTTTTGTTTTGCTTTTTGTTTTGTTTCTCATACACAATTATGTATATTGAGATTCAAAAGGCTAAAGTACTTTTTAAGGTTATGGATTGATTTTAATGAAAATTTTATGAAATAATTCGAGTGATAATAGGAATAAAGGAATCCGTCGTCTTTCTTATGTCTCGGGCAGTTTGAAATCGGCGAATAAAAATTATATGGCTAACAATAAATTTATATTATTACTTTCCAAGATATTTATTTTGGTATATAATATTTTCATATTTTGCCTGAAATAACATTCAGTATATAAATGAATAATACATTATAATGGAATATATTAGTCATAATTGCATATTCCCCCATGGGATGATGATATTATAGTCTGATCATAAAATGGTAGGAAAAAATTATTAATTTTAATCAAAATTCAATCAAGTAGAATGAAAACTAAATTATGCGATATTTCATTAGTGAACTGAATTAAATTTCAATTAACATTTCAAAAACAATTAATCTAGTTTTAGGCATTAGTTAAATTAATCGACTATTTGGATATAAAAAGCAATGGGCGATTTAATTATTTTAAAAAGTCAATCAGTTACAATTATAACTCTAATTATCTAAGGCCGATGATGAATAAAATAAATAAATAAATAAATGTTATAGTCTTTAGAGATAGATAAATTTTCATTTTCACCGCGTACGATTATTAAGCACATTGGCGTTGTTATTTGTAATTATGTTTCATTGATATTTCCCTTGAAATTTACAGAATTTAATATCGAGAATAAATAAGCTATTTCAAATGCGTCATGATTTTCGTTTTCCTTTGATACACTTCTCAGTAAATTACTATTTACACGTGCTAATTGGCAATTCAATCCACTACGCCCTTACAATCTATTCCGTAGCAAAAATAACTACTGTAATTACATAGGTTCTCTCGCACTAATTTATGTGAGCTCGGTATTTCGATGTTGTTCGCGAAAATTAATAATCTGAAATTTTATTCCCTCGCTGGAAATTAAGAACAACTGTGTTATAATTTATATTATTCATCATTCGTAATTCCATTCGGGAACATTCGAGATTTTAATAACTGACATTAAATAGGTTCATCTGTATTCCGTATGAATTATACATCGCGTATTTAAATGTTTTTACCTTACGAGTCGCGTACGGAAAAAGAGTTTATGTTACTTTTACTGCTTATTTTGAATACGCCAAATTGATGTTTAAATTATGTGCTGCCAATTTAGCCGCGTAAAGAATAAAAACATTCCTTTATTCCTCGAGTTAATTCAATACTTTAATACAGTCGTCGTTCAATTTCCTGCATTAAAGCTTTACATCCAAAATATCATAAAATAGCATCGAAACAGAACAAAAATTCCCCTCGCATAATAAAAACGCTATTAAAGAAATTTTCAGCCTTACGTTAAGATTGCTTAATGCCTACCATTAAATCAAAGACAAAGCCGAGTTTGATTTTTTACTTTTTTTTTACACTTCGCCTCTTCCACCCCCTTTTTTCCCCTCCCCCCTTCCCCCCCCCCCCCCCCCCCCCGTCCTATGCCTCTCGCGCGCCCGTTGCATCTCCTCATTGACTCTTGACCGCGAAAGATAAGCAGATATTACGACGGCCGCGATTCGCAATAAATAAGTAAGTAAGTAAGTAAGTAAATAAGCAAGCAAGCAAGCAAGCAAGTAAATATATCAGAAGTACTCTCTCGCCAATGTTCGAATAAATCTGGCCCAAGTTCAACGGCCGCCGGCCCGCTCTACCTCAACCTCCTCACCCTCCGGCCGCCGTTAGACCGACAACTACCATCAAACGACTCGCTCTCGTCGATCCCAACCCCAACCGTCAATCCCCACCCAAAGACAATGAGCATCGACTGACCTGCTGATGCTGAGTTGCCTGCATGTGCGAGCTGGGTGAGAGGTGATGGGGCGACTTCTTGATGGCTGCCATTTGCTGTTGCTGTTGTTGGGGCGACGGTGGCTGAGGACTATAGACCTGATAGGCGACTCCTGCCGGTGCCCCGCTTGTCCCGTACGGTGCCCCATAATTTGAGTACTGCACTTGCTGCTGTTGCTGTTGCTGCTGCTGCTGTTGCTGCTGCTGCTGTTGTTGTTGTTGTTGTTGTTGTTGTTGTTGTTGTTGTTGTTGTTGTTGTTGTTGTTGTTGTTGTTGTTGTTGTTGCTGCTGCTGCTGTTGTTGCTGGGCTTGCTGCTGTTGCTGGGCTTGCTGCTGTTGCTGGGCTTGCTGTTGAGCGGCTACTTGCTGCTGGGCGGCGGCCTGTTGCTGAGCCTGCTGCTGGGCCTGCTGGTGCTGCTGATGTTCCTCGCCACCCTTCTGCACGAGGGAGGCCCGGTAGGCGGCCAGAGCCTTCAAGTATTCCTTCTTCGCGGCCTCCGTCTTCTTCTTGTACACCTGCGCAAAGGGCCAAGTTTGCGATTAATTAGGGCTGTTGGCCTGTATGCGAGGGGGGATGGTGGTGGGGTGAATGAGTCGAGAGGTATTGGAGGAAGATTCAAACCATTACGGGGGCTGGCGGCTGCCTAGGGCAGAGATTACGTTAATTTTTATATCGGAGGCGATGAGGCCGGCGCGCCGATGCTTCTCCGACTCGGACTTTTCCAACGAAGCCAATGAATTTCGTGACAGTTTTGTTATTTTGGGAATTGAAAAGTTCGCAACAGTAGGCGCGCGCATATTAGCCGAAATAAATATGAAAGCTCGTATAAATATGGAAATTCAATACAGTCGCGTTTTAAGTGCATAAATTCTCATTATATTATTCAAATATAAATGAGTTGGGCGGATGAATATAATCGCAAAAAACAAATGTCATATTCCCTTTTAGACGTTTTAGATTGTCCATCGCTTTGGAATTCTAAATTAATGCCACATTATTCGCTCCCCCATAAATTTATTTTATGGGATTCGAATGCTTGAGTATTTGAATAGTACGGCGATTCAAATAATGAAAAGATAATTTGAAATTCAGTTGTGATTATTACTGCCACGCAAACTTTAATGGAAATTCAAGCAAATACCCTGTCAGCGAACGGAACTAAATTACACCGCTTGTTTCGCAACGCGAGGGTTCAATGTAAGTCATAGTTGTACTTGGTAATTGATTTTAAGAATTTTTCCATTTCAATAGCGCGTTAATTGAATAATGCCCGGCAAGAATTGCCATCGGATTTTTTTTCTTTTTTGTTTGTGAAAATTTAAACAAACGTATGCGTTCCTGCCCGTGTACGGACGTGCGTGCGTGCGTGCGTGCGTGCGTGCGTGCGTGCGTACGCGCGTGCACGCAACTATTATAAATGGATATTATCAAATATATCGTATTAGTAACGAATTGCCTTTTGTCTTACGTCTTCAAATGGGGAAGGGGGGAAACAAAAATTAAAAACAAAAAACAAAAAAAAAAAAACAATGAATAGAAAAAACGAAAAAAAGAATTAAAAACAAAGACGAGACGTGACAGACAGTAGATAAAAATAAAAGTGTAAGTAAATTTCGTAAATTAATATTACGACTTCATCGTGACGTCTTTCGTAATATTGTATCCCGTATAATGTTGCACCGAGGGTCCCCCAATCACGGGGGTTAAAAGTTTCCTACATTCGTGAACACACGGTTCATCCAGCTACAACCGTAGCTTCTTTTCTTCTCTCGGGTGCGTTGAATATAGAGCGAGATCGATCCAAACCGTGAATCAATCGACAGTTGTTCAAACGCGATCCAAGGATCGTCCGCGGGTTCCGCTCCCGTCTCTGTTCCATCTCCAGTCTCCTGCTACGTGGCACCCTTTCGTTTTATCTGTCCCCTATTTATCGTCCCGTTTTGTCGAGAGCTATTGTCCACGTGGTATCCTCGGGGCGGCGACTTTGTTATCGAGCACTTGTACTTCTCGTCTACGGCGCCCGCTTAATTAAGGGGACACGACACACCTCTACGGACATTATTGATAAACGACGAAAGACGTCTGCGCAGAAGACCGTAATGGGCGCGTGCTCAATGAATTTATAATCCATGCACGTATAGAGCTACTTAACAGCAGGAAAATTCGCAGGAAAAGAATGAAACAAGGAAGAGAAAAAGAAACGGATTAAGATGTAATTTAGGGTGTACTTTCTGGAGAAATTTCGGCTTGGAACGAAGTTGTTTCTACGTGCCCTGCGATAATCTCTCGTATACTAGTAACTGCACGTAACGCTGATTGATCAATAAAAAATAAATAAAGAAAAGAATAGGAAAGGAAAGGGAGAAAAATAACAACAATTTCAAAAGGAATTAATTATTCTCGTAGGAAAGTGTGGAGCTTTTACATGAAGGAGCTGAAAGAGGATGTTGGGAGTACTTGTCACATTGCGCATAAAAGTGACCGAAGCTCGTAATTGAAAAAACAAGCGCAAATTATGGTGATATTTGTTTGGGAGATAATTTTTTTTTTATCTTTTTTTTATTTGTTTTATTTTTGTTTTTTGTTTTTTGTTTAATAATTTATTTATTAATGTTTTTTTGTCTTATTGGACTAAGGACAGACTTTTCAATATCGAATGAGCATGTGATACGTGAGCATGTGTCACGAGCTTATTTGGGCAGTTTTTTTGCGAATTTGAAAAATCGACGGCAATAATTTTGGCGAAAATAGAGCAGAGGAGATTTAAAATTTAGCACCGGAGCGCGCGCGAAACAAAAATATCTACGAGCGCACCTTACTGCTCGATCTTGCTTTTTTGTATTTTCCTTCGCTCTGCCCTCGTTCGTTTCTCTTGCTCGTGAACATGCTTGTAAGCCCGAGTTTGCCTCTCTGTCTATCCTCTTTTTCCTCTTCTTTCTCCATCTTACCTCACGATCGCTATTACTCACCACCGACAATTTTATTCCGACGGCATGTGCTTATATAAGCGGATTTAAATGCGAGTAAGAGAGGATACAACGACTTTTATTGTTAACATTTATAATTTGAGTGTCATTGTTGACCTCAAAAGCTACGCAGCAGAAGAATAGTTAAAAGGAGTGGACGGAAAAAAGAAGGAAGAAAAAAGTTTAGTCAGCTCAGCACGAGGCAATAAGAAAAGTGTATAGAAAAATTGAGAGAATTAAAAGCCTTGCATTTATTAATCATAATGAAACGTAATTTTTAAATGTAGTCTTTTAAAAATAACGGATAATAATAATTTTACTTCAATTTATAAAACGTTTTAATATTAACTTTTAACATTATTTTTTTTTTTATTTTATTTTATTTTATTTTATTTTTTTTTTTTTTTTGTTCTTCATCCATTTTTTGTTTTAATTCGTTAATGATAAATAATTTATACAAACTATTTAGGAAATTTTTCATAAAAAGAAAAAAAAATTAACTTCACAATAAGATATTATTGTGTATTGAGAAAAGAAAAGAGGAAACGTTGGTCGAACAAATGTAACACATAATAATAACAATAATTGGTTAAAGCTATGAAAATATTCCCATGAATTTTAATTAAAACGCAATAATAATAATTTCTAATATAAAGTTTCTCTTTGTACGAGTAGATGAACGCTTTTAATTAAAGTACGAATTAACTGAATTATTCGAGTGACGTTTTCATTATGACGAAAACTTAACATTACGACCCAACTTCGTTAGAGCAAAAAATAATTTCTAGTACAATCACCGTGTAATTAATTGTACTTTTCACAATTCCTCCGAAAGGCAAAGGGAAAAAACTCAATTAAACTCATCTTCTTCGTAGTTGAAACGTGAAATTATAAAAGACTCGAAAGTTATCACGATTGAACGTAATTCTTCGCTTCTCTCGATCCATCAAAATAGAACAAACCACTTAAGTGGTAAAGAAATTAGTTGGAAAGTGAAATTTTATAAAAGAATCATCTTTTTCTTTACCCATAACAAAAACACCAAGCAATGTAAAATCATTTTTACCAGAGTGAAAGCTATTGGTTATTTTTTTTTTTTTTTTTTTTTTTTTTTTTTTTTTTTATTTTGACTATACAAAGATTTTACTGTTAAGCGAAAATTTTCGCTTCGATGCATTTATATGCTTTTTTTATTTATTTATTTTATATTTTAATCTATTATATATAGGATGGGTGCTTCTATCCTAATAAGTGAAGCCAAAGCATACGATAAATAGCCGAGATAAGGAAGTGACTTTTTTGTAAGTTACCATTTATGGTACCTTTTGGCTAACCTTTTGCATACAAATTAATTGTAAAAATCCTTGTAAAAAATGATAAATGAAAAATGAAAAATGTAAAATAAAATAAACAAATAGTTAATAATTCATATTAAAAGTTATTTATAATAACGACTATTAATATTCGGTTTAAAAGTTGTAATTTCCTCGTGTGTCTTCTCGTATTTTATAGAATAGAACGAAAGCGTACAATATACGTAGGATGGAAATTTATGTAAATGTAATATGAGTATGTAAATAGAAATTGTGAAGCAGATTATTGATTAAGCAATGACACTATTTTTAGAATAATAAATGGAAACTAAAATTGAAAGTACCGTTTCCATTACGAAAACTGTACATAAATATTTAATGAATAATAAGGGATAGAGAGAGAGAGAGAGAGAGAGAGAGAGAGAGAGAGATTTTATTAGAAACTATCGTTAATGAATAATCATTAATAATAATTATGACAAATAGCTAATTATACTTAGAGAAGCACAAGGGATATTAATTATTTATTCGCAAATAGGATTAGACAATTATTGTAAATTAATACGATAAGTTTGCTGATAAATGCCTAAAATATAATGCTTATAGCCTTTAAATAGATTATTTTATTATTTTTATCCCATATTTTCGTTCATCTTATTATGAAATTTGAAATATCACCATTCTTAAGAATGTCCGCGCGGTGGACATTTTAAAAATAAAAATTATATTATCTATTGGCATTTATGTAAATTCGTATATGCGGATTATTATATCTACCATCTTTTCTGCTTACCTCCTTAGGCATTTATACATATTCAATGTCAGAGTAAAAAGTTTTTCTGTCAAATAATGAAGAAATTATGGTAGCTGAAACTTCAATCCTATATTATTTCAATAGCGGAATAATGTCTAATGCATTAAATTGAAATTTTGAGTGACGAATAAATAAATGAATAAGAAATAAAAATTGATACCTTACAAGTCCAAAAACAAAACAAAACAAAAAAAAAACACTTGATTTATCCACATAGAGGTTTGTAGTTGAAGTAAATAATTAAATAATTGTGTAAAATCCGAGGTAAAATAAATTATATTCGTTACATTTTTGCGAATGAAAGGAAAAAAGGAAATAAGCATGCCTTATCTATATTACGCAAGTATTGCAAAAACCAACCATAAACTTGAAAGATACTAGACACTTGTCATAACGATTTATCGTCTTTGATGTGTAAAATA